TGACAAATGAATAAATGAATCAGTGACTGAATTCAGGAATTACTCCAGCTTCATATAGAGACCATTCAGCTCTAAGTTAGGGAAAAATCAATTTGGTTTTCATTTTTAATTCATTCTAACTTCACACATTTGAAATGGTAAGTGTATCAACACTCAGTTTTCCTTTCAAAGTGGACACTTCTCAGAAATTTGCCATAGGGCTCTCTGACTGAAATTGTGCACAAAAATTCATGCACACTGGAAAAATGCATAGATTAATGAAAATAATGCTTTAAAGTCTTTAAATGCTATTCAGAAAATGACGTGCAGGAACATGCATTTCCAGAAAAGTGCATGAATATAAATTCATACAGTTTTTCATGAGGCTGCTTTTCAGAGATTTGTCAAAGCTTTCAACAAAGTAAATGCAAGACTGGAAGAAAATAATCCAAGTTTAAGATAAACCAAGCTTATAATTAGAAAATCAGAGAAACTGCATCGGACAAATTCATTTCTTCCTACATGCAACTGGAGTGATATTTAAAGACCATGCAGACCAGCACTGGGTTTCACTCCCCACCAAAAAATACCCCTTCTCCCAAAGTGCATATTCTGGATTGGATTTTGTAACCCAAATGTATCTTGAAAAATCTCCAAGTTTTTCTACAAGAATCCAGGAGCATCTGGTGAGACAGAAGGTTAACAATGTGGCGGGGGGGGGGGGGCAGCCCACCCCCAGCCTCTGAGCTCATGAAGGGCTCCTCACATTTTATCTCCAGATCAATCCTGAAAACTGCCATGGCTAAATCCAGCCCAGACATATTGGAACAGTCCCCCTCAACTGGAAACAGGAAACCCTGCCCAAGACTGATCCAGAGTGCCGTACTGCTTGGGTTGCCATGGGCTGAAAAGAGAAAGCCCCCTCCATGCTGTCACCTTGGGGAAATATGGGGCAGGAAGCAACACGGTATCCAGTCTGGGACCTCCAGAATGGCCACCAATTTGTCCTTTCATCTCCCATGCAAGACAAAGGCCAAGCCAATTTTTTCTATGTTTAATGTTGCACTATTTTGATAAATACTTTCCTTTGAAAGCTAAGTAAAAACAGCAATCCCCTTCCTTTTTTTTCCAACGGGGAAAAATTCTGCACTTCCTAAAATGCACACTTGGGGAGGGGGGAGAAAGCCTTGCATTTAGAATGCAAATGAGTCGAAATGAGGGTTGAGTTAGAGTGTAGAGATTCTCAGTGAGCTCATCCCCTCTGAAATGCAATTCTGGGGTGCGCTGCGTGGGGGAAAGGCAGTTCCAAGGAACGACCTGTTCACCTTCTCCCTTCCCATTTTAAGCAGTTCGGTATAAAAGTTGGGGTCCACACCTCCCCTGTCATACCTACAGTGGCTGTCCAAAGAACAGAGTTGTAGGAGAGGGGAGCCCACCACTTTTACAGAGCTGCATGTTTAGACCATCCTGGGCATGTTTACAGGGGAAAAACTGCCTGCAGCTCCAGGAAGGCCCCAGTCAGCCATGCCTTTAAGCACTTTCCATTTCTCTTCTGCCCCAGAATTCCACAGGTTAAGGGTGCGCTCAGGAGGGCTTCTCTGTCAGTCCTGGACTGCACTGTGAATTGAATTCACTGGGTGCCCCTGACAGATTTTCCACACAACATTCATCACCACTTAGCCTAGATCCAGATTTCATAAGCTGCGGTCCTATGGTGTCTTCCCCCGCCAGGGGACACCTTTGTCCTCAAGCTCCACAACTATCTTCCCTCCTAAGGAACTTCCTCCTGTGCCTCGAACACCTGTTGCACCTGCTCACCTGCAAGTCTATGAAGTGGGATGACCAGAACTGTACACAGTACTTCCTGTATAGCTGCATCAAGGATCTATCTAATACCCCAAGGCCACATTTACTCTCAGGCAAGCCCATTGTATTTCCAGCAGGACAGGAAATGAATTTTGAACTTTTGAACCACAATTCTGAGTGAAACTCACTGTTCTCTGAATTTTTCAGGGATGTCTCCAGTCAACAAAACAAGTAGACAAATTACTATGTTAAGGAAAGTAACATTTCAAAATGCATTCTGCTGGGAAAACTGCTTGCAAGAAATGCACCTATTAAGCCAAACTGCAGAGGGAAACTCCAGAACTCTGCACACATAATGTTCGTGTATACATTTAAGATGATCCAGGAAGGAAAGGACTGAACTTAATGCTCCAGAAATTCTTGAAGTTTGGGAAGGACTGAACTTACAATTAGAGAAAGGATAAATGGAGGAAAACCATAACTGGCAAATAGGTCTCTCTCTAGCTTAGCAACCATGAACTCCTGGCATGGTGTTGGATTTCGCTTGCTGGTTCATGTATTCAGCCAATTGAAATGAAAGGGGTGGGATGTGAAGAAAAGCAGCCAAAAATCTTTGAAATATCAGCTGATGCCTTGATAGCCAGAACTGAAACTCCTCCCCATCTGACTCATTCAAGATTCTCCTGGCAGGTTCCCAAAAGATCCACAGCCTTCTCTTCCGTCAAAGCCACTTTGAACTTGGCCTTTCCTGCCATCCACTGTGGCAACATGGCCACCCACCCAAGCAGCTTTACCTCCTGGGGCCTTCTAGGCCCCAGCGGAGTGGGAATTGCACGGAAAGGCACCAACGATCTCCAGCTGCTTGAGGCTCTTGCGGAGATGGCCAGCTGTTCCTCTGTGGGGCACATGATCCCACTGCCCTGCCCCGGAAAAAGTAATGTTATCTGGCATCTGGTGGCACCTCTACCAAAAGGATGGTCAAAACATAGTGAAAGACCACTGACACATCCATTCAAAAAGAGGAAAAATGTTTTCAGCAGCTGCAAGGAGCAGATATTCCAGCTTCAAGTGGTGCATCCCTGTTTGGGTTTGATTTGAATACCCCCACACACACACACACACACATGCAGGCCCCTTTGCCGATGGCATGCCCCATGGCACCTCCTGATCAGCAGGGGGTTGGCTTTCAGAGGCCCATCCTGGCCATGGCCTGTGCCCCAGCCAGCCACTGCTTTCCAGAATGCCACAGGGGTAGCCTTGCTGTGAAGCAAGAAACCTCCCCTCCTCCAAGGAATCTCTTCTTTTCACTGAGAATGCATTGTTCACCTATGTCTTTGCTTCAAGGCCTGCCCTTCCTCACAGAGCCTGGCGCAGCAACGGACCATGGCTGGGCCGCAGACAGCGAAGGCGTCTCTGTGGAAAGTCTTCAGTGCGCAAGCGCTTCGGGAGACCAGTGCCTGTCCAAGCCTTCATGCCGACAGAACCCTAAAACATGCCTAGGGGACCTTTAGGTGCTGTCAGTCCACACCTCCCACCATCTTTGGCCAAGGTCCATGCTTGTCAGGGTTGATGTGGCTTGCAATCCAGCAACGTAAGAGGTGCCACATGGGAAAGGCAGTATTGCTAGCATGTGATCGCAGGCATGTTTAGATGGGAAGTGCGGCTGGCGGAGCCACTCCGCCATTGCCAGGGTTTTCTCCCACCCAAACATGCACAGAATTGCACCCTTTATCATGCGCAATTTCTGCAATGTGTAGCCGCTCTCTGTGCATGAATGTATGACAAGTCTGCACAGAGATGTACACCATTCAGAGGCCCCTAAACATGTGATAGAATCTTGATCAGCAGAATTGCTTGAAATCCCTGCATTCCAGTGGAACTCCTTCAAGTTACACAAACTCAGAAAGGACACTGGGACTTCCTTCCAGTGCTGGGCATTGCTCCTCGCGGCGTGCGTCAGCACAAGGCATGCTGTGCACTCTTCAGATATGCTTCAGTGCAATGCAACTGCTTGCAACAGGCTTTTCAGCTGCATTCACTGGGAGCAGTTCATCCCTCTGCTGCCTTCTGCTGCTAAGAGCAGCAAAATCCATTATTCTCCATAAGCTTTTAAGGCCTTCAATAAAGCGAGATCCTTGGAGGCCTTTTTCATCAGCATCATCTCCCTGAGGACACAACAGTTAGGCAACCTGCTACCTCCAATTCTCTCCTTCCTCTGCTGCCTCTCCTATGCAGAATGTTCGACTGTAAGCCCCCCAGGGCAGAGACCTCATCACTGTTAACTGAGGGGAAGTCCAAGACACATTCCTTGAGAAGAACTTCAGTGGCAGCATCCCTGTATTTTCTGATCTCTAGGCTGGCAATGCAACTTAGGCTAAAGAACCCCAAGAAGCTGACCAAGGAGGCTGCTTGCTGGTAGATTCCATCTAATTTGGCTCCCAAGGTTAAGATACCTGATTTTCCACAAAGGTAACACATATCATGGAATATTTGGGTCATTTTTCATAAAAGGAGCCCACACAAATTTGGAGATACCATCCCTTTCCTTCCTGTGTGCATCTGTCCTGGAGCGCACACAGCTCTTTCCACACATTAGGGGGCGTCCGTTTTCTAAGTTCATTTAAGTTTGCAATGCTCCTGCCTTTGATCCCAGATTGTTCTCAGGGGTAGGGGGAGAGTTTGCTATGCCATGATTGAAGAGGCAATGCCAAGGATCAGATGTTTGCAGACCCCCCCACACACAATTTTCAGTCTTAAATTAACTGCAAGCAGGAACTCTTCTGCTGCTCCCAGAAAGGAAAACAAGGCATTGTGTTCCTGAAGATTTCTCCCTTCATGGGCCCCTTTGACAAATAGTATTCAAAGGATTTCAGCTGCTAAAACTATTTTTGAGAAGGTAGCGGGGCATGTGAAGAAAAGGAAACCTGATGCAGAGCAAAACACACTCAGGAAAAGTTTTCCTGTTGCTAGATGTTTTAAAAAGCAAACGGCAATCCAAAATGTATGCATGACTTCTGTCTTCTCCATCTACCATGGTCCTTCAGAGCAAGCAAGTCTTAACAACTTAAAAGGCAGCAAACTGATTTGGACAGGCTGCAGGCAAAGTTGCTGTCAAAATCAAGGAAGGAAAGAAGGAAGCACTGAAAAAAGTCAAAGCAAGGAAGGAAGCAAGCAAGCTTCATTTAACGAAACGAGAATGGACTGTTGGTCCTTACCTGCATGGCTTTCGGAAATTGCATAGAGTAGGAACAGTGCTACACTCCAAGGGCAGCTGGAACTCAGCACCCAAGTCCTCTTTTTCCACCTCGTGTGAGTATCCATGGTCCACCAAGGAAAAATAGGGATGCTGGGGAAGGGGTTGTGCAAATTACGCAGCCTCGAGGCTGCTGGGTGACTCTTTTCTTTATAATATATCTATCTCTCTATATAAAATATTAAATATTAGGACTCCCTTCCCACCCACCCCTCAAGGAATGCGCTCCTTATGAAGCCATGAGCCTGGATGCTTGGGATGGACAGGAGGAACGCAGGCGCTCCACTCCGGCTGTTCGGCTCTGATAAAGTTTGCTCGCGCGGGAGCGCGCTTGGTGCCCTTCCCGTCCCGGCCCGTCCCGTCCCGTCCCCTTTTCAAGTCTTCTCCTTCCCCTCGGTTCCCTCCCGAGCCCCTCTTTCTGCGCTCTCTTCCGGGGTTCCCTCTGCAAAGTGATGTTCCCCTCTCGCTGCCCTGGGCTGGGAGTGAAACTTTCTCCCCCCTCCCGCGCGCTTTTCCCCCCCTCGCCTGCCCCTTTTGCGCCTATGAAAGCCGACGAGGCCGGGCTGTCAATCCAGAGGCGCGCCGGCCAATCGTGGCCTCGGGAGCGCCCCGGGAAACGCCCCGCTTTCCCTTCTCGGGAGCGGGGCGGCGCCTGTGGAGGAGCCCGAGCGCGCGTGGCCACGCGGGGCGCCGCTCCCCGCCGCCGCCTTCTCGCCGGGCGGGGCGGGGACCCACGCGGGAAATTTGAACGCGCGGCGCGGGGAGCAAGCGGCGCGTTTGCGGGCCGCCTGCAGCGCGCGGGCATGACCCACGCCGGCGCTGGCTGGCAGCATCCGAGCCTGCCTGGCCGGGCGGGGCGGGGCGGCCGCCTCGTGCGGAAGCCCCCCGAAACCCGTGTCAAAAGAAGAGGCTCGGAGCGCGTGGCAAGCTGGGCCTCTGCTCTCAGCAGTGCCTCGTCTGCACCCTGGAGCTTGGCCGCGAGTCCGCACACACCTGTGCAAACGGCCAGAAATGTGCTCAAGGGCAGTTGAGGCTGAGGCAGGCCAGAGTGTCTGGGGAGGAAAGTCACCCTAACTGGGACATTGAGGGAAATTCTGCCGTCACTGGCTGCCCCGTTCACACAGCTTGCCCCTCTCTCCTAGGAGAAGAGCCATCGGGCCTGGGAGGGCCCAGGCAGTCCGGAGCTCACGCCTCCCTCATGGCAGTCCAGCCTGGAGTTGGGGCACCTTCCTAGGAGCAGGCCGGACCACCTCAGCGAGCACAGGCCTCTGCTGAGCTGCTGGTCCCTTCCGAGCTGGCAGCCGTTGTCGGTAATTCCAGTTGCTTCTCGCAGGCCATGCCACAGAATGACAATCTCACCGGGGTGGCCAGTGGACCAGGGCAGCCCAGCCCAATCTGTCCCTGCGCATTTTAACAACAGCATCATATTGGGGGAATGACCGAGTAGAACTCAGAGTGAGACCCTAACTGTGGGTTTTGTTTGAAGCTAGTTGCACTAAGCTCAGTAAGATGCCTGCAGTCCTAATGTTGAGATACCTATTAAGTAAACTCCCCAAGAAAAGGCATGTAGGGTGCATGTTTACCCAGAAGCAGGTCTCCTTCAGTTGAGTGCAACTTACCTATAAGTTACCTGTAATATAAGCATTATATTATAACTTTAATCAAAAAGAAACATTAGACTGAGCTAATTGTTAGATTTTTAAAGGTCCAGGATGCTCTTGCTTTACTGTTTGATATTTCTTCCTCTTCAAATCATCACCAATCGCTTCTTGGAAAGTGTAATATTGGGAAATGATTAATTGTTGCTGTAGCCTTTATTAGAGCAAGGTTTTGTGCACTTAACACTCATGGTGCAGGTAGGAACACAACTAATGCAAACTTCTGCAACTCTGACAATGTTATGCCCAGAATAGTAATAAATAATGGAACAGCTATGCTTGCATACGTAAGACAAATCAAAGCGGATCCCATTGCTGTAATGCTTAAAATCTGGGAGGAAAGTGTATCAGAACTAGCAGAAATAAATCTGATCTACATGTCAGGTGAACTACTTTGACCAGCTTACAGGAAGGTCCACAGAACTGAGATCCGGTAGGCTTTTGAAATCCCCCCACTTCAATTCTTCTGAATTTTGTGGGAGGGGCACTGCCTGTTCAACGCGTGGCCCGTGGTGGGACCTCAGCTTATTCCAGCATCACAGAGAAACTGGCAGCGCTGACTGGGAAAGAGCTTGGCGTTGTGGTGGGCAGCGCCGCTACTGTGGAAAAGGCAAGTGCCATTCTGGGCACATCTTGGAAGGGAAGTGAGCATAACGTTGCCAAGATCCTAGTGCCCTCGTGCAAATCTGTGGTGCCACCACCTTTGGAACATCACATGCAGGTTTGAGCTTCACTCCTGGAGAGAGATATTGCAGCGTTCACAAACATGGAAGAGGACAGCTGAAACTTTGAAGGGGCTGCAGGAACACCTGTAAGGAAAGGCTGCAGCGTTGGAGGCTTGGACAGTTGAACTGAAGGGTGAGGAAAATTGTTGTTATTATTTATTATTTATTTGGTACACTTATATGCCGCCCCATTCGCAAAAGCCTCAGGGCAGCTTCCAATACTAATAAATAACTATATAAATACATAAAATCTGGAGACATCCCGGCATAAATATAAAATCAGTAAATAAATTCAGCAATTAAAATAACGTATAAATAAAAAGGTCTTGGCCTGGTGCCGAAAAACAAATAACGACGGCACCAGGCGCTCTCTGGGGAGCGCATTCCATAAGTGGGGCGCCACCGCAGAGAAGGCCCTCCTCCGGGTACTCACCCTCCTAATATCTTTCACAGAGAGTTCCCAGAGAAAAGCCTCTGCTGCCGATTCCAAGGAGCAGGAGGGCAAATATGGAAGCATGTGTTCCTTTAGGTATCCAGGTCCCAAGCCATTAAGGGCTTTATAGGTGATAACCAGCACCTTGAATTGGGCCCGAACTTCAATGGGGAGCCAGTGAAGCTGACGGAGGACTGGGGTTATATGAGAACAATGCCCAGTCCCCGTCAGCAACCTGGCAGCTCTGTTTTGCACCAACTGAAGTATCCGAACCGTCTTCAAGGACAGCCCCATGCAGAGTGTGTTACAGAAGTCTAATCGGGAAGTTACCAAAGCATGTGTCACTGTTGCCAGGCAGTCATTCTCCAGGTAGGGACACAGTTGATGGATCAGCCTAAGCTGAAGGAAAGCGCTCCTCGCCACTGCTGTCACCTGAGCTTCCAAAGACAGCTCTGGGTCAAGGAGCACTCCCAAGCTGCGAACCCTGTCCCTAAGAGGGAGTGCAACCCCATTCAGGACAAGGTCCAGGTCCCCTACCCCAAAGCCTGAACCACCTACCAACAGGACCTCGGTCTTGTCTGGATTGAGTTTCAGTTTATTGGCCCTCATCCAGCCGATTACCTCGGCCAGGCACCGGTTCAGTACAGCCACTGCCTCACCTGGATTGGTGGAAAATGAGAGGTAGAGCTGGGTATCATCAGCGTACTGATGACTCTGCAGCCCACACCTCCTGATGACCTCTCCCAGCGGTTTCATGTAGATGTTAAATAGCAAGGGGGACAAAATGGACCCCTGTGGAACTCCATGGCATAGCTGCCATGGCGCAGAGCCACAGTCCCCCAGCACCATCACCTGGAATCAGCCATTAAGATAGGAGAGGAACCACTGCAAAGCAGTGCCTCCTACTCCAAATCCCACTAGCCTATCCAGAAGGATACCATGGTCAATGGTATCGAAAGCTGTTGAGAGGTCCAGGAGAACCAACAGGGATGCACTCCCTGTCTCTCTCCCTGCACAGGTCATCATACAGGGCGACCAAGGCAGATTGAGTACCATACCCGGGTCTGAAGCCGGACTGAAATGGGTCCAGATAGTCAGTCTCATCCAAGAGTTGGAGTTGTCCCACCACCACCCGCTCCAACACCTTGCCCAAAAACAGGATGTTGGCCACCGGTCTATAATTGGTGGCCATCTCTGGATCCAGGAATGCCTTCTTTAGGACTGGCCGGACTACCGCCTCCTTTAAAGGGGCAGGTACCCAGCCGTCCCACAGAGAGGCGTTGACAACCTCCAGGATCCAGGCCCCTATCCTGTGCTTGGCTTTGTTAAGTAGCCAAGATGGGCAAGGGTCCAATAAGCAGGTGGTGGGATGTACTTGTCCAAGCACCTTGTCCACATTAGCAGGCCACAACAACTGAAACTCATCCATCAATTTTGGACCAGACGGCAACATTGGCACCTCCCCAGAAGGCTCTGAGTCCACTAGTGGAGTCCAGCTCGTGATGAAACTGAGCGATTTTCTCCATAAAATGCTTGGCAAAGTTATCACAGCGGACCGTCAAGGGTGGTATGGGGTCTTTTTTGGGGCCCAGGTGAACCAGCCCTTGCACCACCCGAAAGAGCTCCACCGGACGGTATTGTGAGGAGGCAATGGAAGCGGAGAAGAATTTCTTTTTCACTGCCCTCACCACCACAGCATAGGCTCGATAATGAGCTCTCAAGTGTGTTCAGTCAGATGCATCCTGTGATTTCCTCCACCTATGCTCTAGATGTCTCCCAACCTGCTTCATCGCCCGTAGTTCAGATGTATACTTGGGGGATGAACAGGCTCTGCCAGGTGGAAGAGGAAGCTTAGGAGTGATCGTGTGAATAGCCCTAGTCATTTCCCCATTCCATAGTTCGACCAGGGCATCGACAGAAGCACCAGCCTTATCAACCAGGAATTCCCCCAGGGCCTTCAGGAATCCATCCGGATCCATCCAGCTCCGAGGGCGGACCAACACAATCAGGTCCACACCCTTACAGAGGGAAAGACCGCTCTCGAGCTCAAACCTCACAAGGAAGTGATCTGACCATGACAGGGGAGTCAGACATAAATTCCTCATCCTCAGATCCCCCTCTTCCTGCCCCGTCGAGAAAACCTGGTCCAGAGTGTTTCCACGTTCATGGGTTGGGCCAATGACATGTTGAGACAGCCCCATGGCCGTCACGGAGGCCATGAAGTCCTGAGCCACCCCGGTCAGAACCATCTCGGCATGGAGATTGAAGTCCCCCAGGACCAGCATCCTGGGGGTCCTCAACACCAGATCCGAGACC